TAAAATAATATTTTTTTAAAAAAGAACTACTATTTTATCTAATTTCTAATTGATCTTCAACTGGTAGTGCCTCTTAATCTTTTACCTCTCTATATCATGTAGTTGATGATCTATATACAAACATTTAAAACCACTGTAGGAAAAACCTATTTAAAGAAAACTTGCAGGGATCCCTGGGTAGCTCAAAGGTTTAGCACCTGCCTTCGGCCCAGGGCGAAATCCTGGAGTTCCAGGATCGAATCCCAGGATTGAGTCCCAGGATGGAGTCTCATATCAGGCTCCCTGCATGGAACCGGCTTCTCCCTCTGCCTGTGTCTCTGCCTCTCTCTCTCTCTCTCTCTCTCTCTCTCTCTCTCGGATAAATAAATAAAATCTTTTTAAAAAAAGAAAGAAAACTTGCTGTGATTTAAAGAATCCTTTATTCTGTGGAATGTTAATAATTACCTAATTTTTTTTTGTAAGGAATGAATTTTCTGTTCTCAAAAGAATGGATGGCAGGCAGGCAGATGGATAGAAAGATAGGCAAGTAGGCAGACAAGAAGGAGAAAGAAAATAAAAGTAAAACTAGGAACAACTATTTTTTTGTACAGGAAAAGTAAAACAAAAGATAAGAGGAATGAAGGGTGATGGGTGGTCGGGAAGGGAGTGGCAGAGAACCACAAGCTAAATTAGTCACAAAGTGTTTATATTTTAAAAGTAAACTTGAATATTGTGATGTATAAATGGACTAACAACCACTTAACCTGCAGGCTATAATTAAAGTAGTGTTCAGTTTTAGACTCTGACTTAGGGACATGTAAGGACCTTGGAGAGATTTCAGAATAATAACGGTAAAAAGGTAAAAAAATGAGCAAAGTGAGGAAAAATTAGAACTGTTACTGTGTCTAAGACGAGAAAACCAGGGGTGACTCAAAAGTCCTCAGGAGGGCAGCCTGGGTGGCTCAGTGGTTTAGTGCTGCCTTCAGCCCAGGGCCTGATCCTGGAGACCCAGGATGGAGTCCCATGTCAGGCACCCTGCATGGAGCCTGCTTCTCCCTCTTCCTGTCTCTCCCTCTCCCTCTCTCTCTGTGTATCTCTCATGAATAAATAAATAAAATCTTTAAAAAAAGAAAAAAAGTCCTCACGATATGAAAAAATATCCATTTCAGTGAACAGCTGGTCTACACTTCCACAGTAGAAAATAATTTTACTTAAATTATGACAGCATATATTTGAAGATGGAAGTGTCTCACCTAGGATGTCTCATCAAACAAAAACTCCATAGAAACCTGAATGCTGTTCACCTCTCCCACCCTTTGCTAGCTCAACTCCTCATCTCAAAGAATGGGTCAAAGGGTAGATAAGGCATCAGAATGTAAAGATTCAGTTTTCTTTTGGGTCTAGCTACATAGCTACTATGTTTAAAATTTTTTGTTAGCCTTTGGCCCCCAGGTCCCAGATGTAAGGTTGTGCTGTTTCTATGCTATGGATAAAAGAGTAACAAATTAGTAACAAATACCTAGATACATGCATAAACTTGAATTCCCATAAAAGAATGCTTATTCTCAGTGTTTATGGGTAAGAGGGCTTGGATTTGGGGTTCTTTCAGGACCCAGTTACTGTGCTAACATGACCCATTTGATTCCAAAGAAAGAATTTAACTGACCTGATATTAAAAAGAAATAAATAAACTGGACAACTAGATGTGCCTGGACCTCTTATTTTGTTTCTAGCATTTGTCTTATTTAGACATCTCCTACAATAAGGAATAAGCATAAAGTCTATGAAGAAAGAGAATGTAATCATATTTTATTTGTACCATGACCACCCCACCCCACCCCAGTCCAACTTTTAGCATAAGCCTGGGCACACAGAAGGCTAAGAATTGGTACTTGTTAAATGAATGTAATGTGTCTAAAATTTTGATATTTTATTCTATATGCTTTTTCTAGTTATTCTCTAATTCATTCTCTAATGCTGCTGCCTATGAAGGTTGCATTTGTCTCATTACTCTTCCTTTCTCTTCTGTCACCGAAACTTTTCTTCCCTATTCCTTCAGATGTCTTTAATCATCTAACTCCTAAACTACCAAAACCTCTCAACTTCCTCAATTCATCCCCTACTCTTCTACTTACACCCAAGTACACTGTTATGTCACCTTAATTCATAATGTTTTGACCATATCACTTTCTATACCTTCTTTCCCTGCTCAAGTACATGACTAAAACTAGCTTTGACTTCCCAGATAACAAGACTCCTACCTCCTCTCATTCCAAACCTTTACTAAAACCCACTTTGTATAGGAAGCCATTTCAGAACACATCGGTCAGATGAAAATAACCACCTATCAAAAGTTCTCATAGTTGGGTAGCCCGGGTGGCTCAGCAGTGTAGCGCCGGCTTCAGCCCAGGGTGTGATCCTGGAGACCAGGGATGGAGTCTCATGTCAGGCTCCCTTGCATGGAGCCTGCTTCTCCCTCTGCCTCTCTCTCTCTCTCTCTCTCTCTGTGTGTGTGTGTGTGTGTGTGTGTGTGTCTTTCATGAATAAATAAATAAAATCTTTAAAAAAAAAGTTCTCATAGTTAAGAAAAAAAAGTTCTCAAGAGTTCATTCACTTTTCTGCCTGCATCAAAGCTATTTGAAAGAAAATAGCGTTAGGGTGCCTGGGTGGCTTAGTCAGTTAAGCATCTGCCTTGGGTGCAGGTTGTGATCCCAGGGATCAAGCCCTGCATCAGGCTCCCTGCTCACAGAGGAGCCTGCTTCTCCCTCTTGCTCTCTGCCCCTCCCCCAACTCATGTTCTCTCTTGCTCACTGTTCTCTCTACTAAGTAAATAAGTAAACTTAAAAAAAGAAAACAGTCTCAATTGAAGTATAAAACCTATGAAATAGTGTTTGTAGGTGGTATGTTGGAGGATGAGCACGTGCACACACGTGTTTATGTACACATATAGCATATGCATATATATGCATACACACACACAATAAATATATTCTGCCCAAATTAGAACCCACAAGCTTAAAACCCAAATTTGCTAAATCTAAACCACAGGTATTGAGCTCTATGGCTACTTCCTGCAAGTAGATACATTACCTCTGACAAAGTCAATTGGGAGTTGCAAAGATAGGTAACTATTGCTACAGGCAGCTAGGATTCTAGTTTTTTTTTATTTAAATGTAAAACTTATCAGCTCAGGACACTGACCATGTTGTATGATTTCTGCACAATACCAAGACTATCCTAGACACTAAAAAATACTATATTTACAACTTAAGCAGGAAAACAGAGGCTTGCTTCACAGTGGTTTAATATGAACAGAGTTGAATATGACATTGTCTGACAGAAGAATGAACAGTTTGCTGAATAAAAGCCCCGAGTCAGGATATATACATAGCAGAAATGGGGCCTCAGGCTTTCAGCACTTGTTGCACAATGAAAGAAGAACTCTTAAAAAAAAAAGTCAGTAACAGAAGATACAAAAGGCAGCAACAACACCAACACTGGGGAGGTGGGAAAGGGAGCAGAGACTCTCTAGGGGCTACTCAGCCCCTGGTACAGGCTCAGCAGGTGGAGAGCTGATCTGTCTCAGGGAACCTCAACATTTAGAAGGACTCCAAATCCTATGTCAAAATCCAATCCTAATTTCTCTTTTCAGGGTCTTGTCAGACTCCATAATCCTTTTCTCCAAGACCCCATATAGAGAATTCCAATCCTTCCATGATAGAGAGTCTAAGGGAAGAGTCCATACTTTTGACATGACACCAGTTAATTTGCTCCCACCCCACCACTGGAGATGGATATCAGACCCCAGCAAACAAACCATCACCTCCCAGAGAGAAGCCCAGGAAAGCTGCTTCAGACTCTAAGACTTGGGACATCCACACCCAGCTGCTATCTCTAGCTCAAATTCTGGGGAAGATGCTGGAGTTCTACAGGAAACAAGTGCAGGCAGTTCAATAACCCTGTGACCAATCTGGGGAGGTCAGTGACAACTCTTGCCCCTGAGCCCCATTCAACAGCTCAAAGTGCTTAGAAGTCAGAGACTGTGGTTTGTTCACGTGCTTCTGCCCCATGGCAGCACTAAATAGGATGGGGGGAAGGGAGAATGGAAGGAGGAGGATGGTGATACCCTTCCCTACCACTGGGAGGTACCTAGAAAATGATCCACTCCCACCCTTTGGGGAGTTACCTGGCAGTGGTGAGTTGCCCCCACCCCTCAAGCCACCAAACCTGCAAGGCTAACATATAAAGTAGCAAGGGCTTGGGGAGGAACTGCTGGCCCATACTGACTCACCTGCTGATGAGCAAGAACAGGCAGCCAGAGCGGGGAGCCACAAAAGAGAGGGGCTAGACAATAAGAATTCTCCTACTGCCCTATGGCTTTCTTCTGACTCTGAAGCAGCCATGATGAGGGGCCCAGAAAACCCACACATCTTGCTCCACACAACAGACTGCTTAGACTCTAGGAGGATTTACTGCCATGAAAAGCAACAAGGAAAAGAGAAAGTAACAAAAGAAACTGTTGAGAAAACTGGGAGCAGGCCTAGAGAAAACAAGGAGAACATTTAGGTCTCTACCACCTTCCCCAAAAGGAAAAAGTTCATGCAGATAGGAAATGCAGGGTTGTTCCCTGCTCAGCGTTCCTGGTTAAACGTAAGAATAAGAAAATCCCCTGGACTTGCAGCATCAGTATGTATCCAAGTGTATCCAGCACAAGACCCGCCCCCCCATAAGATTAGCCTTCTGGCATGGGTAAATTGCCTTCTAATCCAATCCCCCCACCCACACCCCAAGCAAAGGGCATCTGCCTGTGGTTCCCATCTCTCCTTAAAAAAGAAGATCATAGCAGAGTGCCCACGGTGTAGTCAGGTACCAAGAAATATAATGCCAGACAGTTTATCAGGCCAGGGGATGGGCAGCCAACTTCAGATCAAAGAAGGAGAGAGAGGCTTAGTGTAAAAATCAATGTCATTTTCAGCAGGAAAGTAGAGGGCAAGTGGTGAGAGGGGCTCCTACTGGCGCACCTTCCCGGGGACGTAGTTCCTGTCAATTGCCTCCTCCTGCAGGAACATGTGTAGGCAGCGTTCGTTCTGAGCCAGTGGATGTCCAGCAATTCTATAAAGAGACCAAGATGGTTATCAGTAGTATTTGGGATCAGAGAGAATTCACAGAGTGACAGGGGTGTGGACAGGGGAAGAAGGGCAACGTCAGCTCTTTCAGAGGTTCAAGCAAGAAGCGGACAACAACAGGGCACCACTCCACCCTAATATTATATAGGAGAAGGGGGACAGAGGGGTAAAGCAGGGAGAAACCACCAAACACATCCAACATGCAGTACTTTCTCAGACCCTGAGGTACAGGATCAGAATTCTGCTCAAAGGAATGGAGTCTTACTGTCCAGTCAGCTCAGCACACAACTAACATCACATCTTATTACAGAAGAGGAGACAGACAAAACATATAAAGACCATGATGGCAAAAGCAGCAAGAAGAGTCCCCAAGAACTTGGCTTACTTGTTAATAAACTGCTCGAGGCCCTGCCTCCTTTCTTCAATGAAGGACTCTTCAAAGATCCCTTCATCTCCTCGAAAAGGGAGCTGACGCTTCAAGGCTTTCCCAGGCAGTGGTGGTACTACAATCTGCAGGCAGATGCAAAATATCAACCACATGAGAGAGGATGAAGAGGGAATAAGATGGTGAAATACTGTATACTTAATTTCCTATTAGGCAAGGTCTATCTTATCCCACAGCCAGCAACTTGTAAGAACTGAGACCATAAGAGCAGTCAAGATGGCTCAGGTCAAAAACCAACTGATTTTATGATAGGACTGGCCTTCTACCTCAAAAGAAAGAAAGGAAATAAACTCAAATATTCCTCACTTTCTTTAACAATCCGCTAGCATCCACTAATTTAGCTAGGCCTTCCCTGACACTATACTTTACATTTTTAGCATCTATAGGAGTTTAAGTTATATGACTTTACTAGCCACTGATTCAAGTGATACGTTTTCTTTAAAATTTGTCCTGCACTTCACTGCTTTCAATTCAAGTTTAAAGGGTTATCACCCAGATCCAATGTGTTGGGATTTGATAGTGTTTAGCCCCCCCACCCCCCGCTGCCTTTAAGATTTTATAGACTATGATCTTATGCCTTCTCAGGCTATGTAGATATCGTCCTCCTAGGATCCCACACAGGGAATGGGGTCATACCTTACTATCTCGCTCCAGCTCATTCTTTAGCCACTCGAAGTCACTGTAGCGCCGCCGTACACAGGACTCCTTCAGCTTGAAGATAGGTAGGTTTGTCTACGGGGAAGGAAAATGAGAAAAGAGAGATGGTAACTAATGTTCAGCCTGTGGTGGCCACCTGTCAGAACCACTTAGGTCCCAAAGAAGAAATAATTCCTGTGAACCATGTTCCTATAACTCCTTTAAAATACCACCAGGTCAATTACCAATCCTTACCACATCCAGCCTTGTCACAGTTGGTGATTAGAAGTCCCTTGCTGCTTAGAATTTATCCTAAAAATAGATTTGAAGTCGTATGCAAATATATATGTACAAGGAGTTTCACTGTACTTTATTTGTAATAATTAATTAATGTTCACCAATATGTAATAGGTTAAATAAATTACAGTATGCTTATACAGTGGAATTACTGTACAGCTATAAAGAGAATGTAAACTACATATGAGCCTGTAGGGGAATATATTAAGCATTAAAATCAAGGTACTGAACAGTACATACAGCTTGCCTGTGTGTTGTTTTTTCCTATTTGGTTTTAAAAAGGGATATGTATATTTACCCAAAGAAAATGAAAACACTAATTCAAAAAGATATATGCATGCCTTTGTTTACTGCACATTATTTACAACAGCCAAGATATGGAAGCAACCCAAGCGTCTATCAAGAGATGAGTGGATAAAGATGTGCTATACACACAAACACACACACAGAGTGGATAAAGATGTGCTATACACACAAACACATACACACACACACACACAGGAATAATACTGAGCCATAAAAAAAGATGAGATCTTGCCATTTGCAACAACCTGGCTAGACCTAGAGAGTATTATGCTAAGGGAAATGAGTCAGAGAAAGACAAATACCATTTAATTCACTTACATGTGGAATCTAAAAAATAAAACAAACAAAAAGTAGAAACAGACCCATAAATACAGAGAACAAACTGTTGATTGCCAGAGGGGAGGTGGGTGGAGGTATGGGCAAAATGGGTGAATGAGAGTGGGAGATACAGGCTTCTAGTTATGGAAGAATAAGTCATGGGGATAACAGCATAGGGAATATAGTCAATGGTATTGTAATAGTGTTGAATGGTGACAGATGGCAGCTATAGTTGTGGTGAGCATAGCATAATGTAAAACTTGTCAGATCACTATGGTTAACACCTGAAACTAATGTAACATTGTGTGTCAACTATATTTCAACCATAAAGGGGATATGTGGGTGCCAGGGTGGCTCAGTCGGTTGAGCATCCAACTGTTGATCTCGGTTCAGGTCTTGATCTCATGGCTGTTGAGTTTGAGCCCTGTGTTGGGCTCCATGCTAGGCGTGGAGCCTGCTTTACAAAGGGGAGGGAAATATGTGTATATATTTATATTTATGAATAAAATGTTTATTCATAAATAATAGTGATTGAATTTGGAGTATAAGACTAAACACTTGGTTGGAACGGGTGGGAGGGTCACATTTTTCACTGAACGATTTGAATTTATCACATGCTCATATTACATTTTCAATTGAAAAGTGAATTTAAGTTCCCTGTAAAGAACAATAGAAAAGCACCTCCAAGGTATGCCTTCCTCAGCTTTTCCTATCCAAATTCTCTCCATTCTGCATGTCCCAACTCAAGTCTCATTTCATCCAGGAAATCTTTCCTGAGAGCACCAGCTTAATTTACTGGTCTCTCTCTCTTCTACACTTCTATGACATTTATACTTTAGTAGTGCCTGACACACTATTGGTTTATGCATCATGTTAGTCTTGCTACTTAACTAAACTGTAATTTCATTGAAATCAGGAGCCGTGACTACTTCTGCATTTCCCTAAATGCAGACTATGCAAATCACTCAGTAAATACTCAATTAATAGAGGCCCTATGTATCTGTTTACCCTCTCCTTGTCTAGAAAGCACAGCAGAAATAGCAATTATATTAAGTTGGCTTACCATTGCCTGCTCTCTGATATAAATCAGCTTATTCCCACATCTTACTCACTGATAATTTTCCCAAGGCTCTAATGGTGACAGGAACTACCAACAATCCAAAAGCCCTGATCCTCACTCCTGTCTACAAGTTCTAAATAGAAACGGCCAACCACATGTATTAAGACTGACTAAATTTCCCAACAGCCAATCCATATCAGCAGATGGAAATAAAAGGAACTTAGTTTCTCTCCTTTATCCACAACTGCCTCAGGGCAGGAAAAGAATATCTTCAAGCTATGTTAGTGCTTCACACAGTCCTCACTACACCATGCTTTGTAGCCCTCATGTCTGGAAATTATCTTTCCAGGATCCAGTTCTAGGTAAAGGTCATCAAAAGCTAAAAAACTAACCAACTTACATTAGTTACAACTCTATCCAGGATCAAGGTTCAAGGAATGTCAATGAGTTAAAGGAAGATGAGATACAGGTAAAGCAATATTTCATTACAACCTTTTCTTTAGGAGAATAAATAAAAAACTGGAAACAGTAGTTTCTTTGGAAAAGGGAACCTCTAGAAAACAGAAGGAAGGAGGAAGACCTAGTTTCTACAGTGTATCTTTTTTTGTATCTTTTGAATTTTGTACCATGTGCATATATTAACCAAACAAAATAAACCATTATAGAGCGCATTCTCAGAATCCTGCAAGAAATCTGCATATGTATCAAATCATCACACAATATACCTTAAACTTACACAATGTTATATGTCAATAACATCTCAATAAAGCTGGGGAAGGAATAATCCTGCATGGAAAAAAAGAGTGCTTTGGTATCATCTGATTCTAGGTTTCCACCAGAGTTCATTACAAATACTGTTATCCCCAAACAGAACCTTAACTAGTAGGCTTTTACAGAAGCCTACAGAAGCCAACAGAAGGACCAAAGAAAAGGGGGAAAACTCTGAGTAGATTCTTCCAAGACACAGTGAAACCACCCACTGCCATTCTGTGGACTTCCTCCTTTGACTCACAAAAATCCTATTCTTTCCCTACCCGCATAGGATGATGACAATAATGACCGTTCATCTCAGCACCTAGCCATCCAAGGAAGTGGCTACTGTGTACTAAGTAAGATAATCTCCCAGCTCCATGCTATAAATCATATAAGGAAGACAGGATTGTGTAGTCCAGGATATAGAAAGTCCTTTGGCTCTGATCAACACAAAGTCAAGGGAAAGGAAAGAAACAAAGTTCAAGTCCACAGGACAACTGACATTTGAGAGTTCACACACGTCATGTGAAGTCACCAGGACACCTCTCCAGACTCCTCATTTCTTGGGAGAGTGGAGGGGGAATTCTTTCCTGAGCAAAATAAAAGAGAACAGCTTCAGAAATATTTAACTATTAAACTAAGAAAAAGAAAGTCAGTGTTATCTACTTCTACCATACACAATGCCTAACTCTCAAAGCCCATTCTCTAAGTCTCATGTTCCTTTATAATGCCTACCATGATAAACCACCTAAAATAGCAATTAAAGGGATCCCTGGGTGGCGCAGAGGTTTGGCGCCTGCCTTTGGCCCAGGGCGCGATCCTGGAGACCCGGGATCGAATCCCACGTCAGGCTCCCGGTGCATGGAGCCTGCTTCTCCCTCTGCCTGTGTCTCTGCCTCTCTCTCTGTGTGACTATCATAAATAGATAAAAATTAAAAAAATAAAATAAAATAGCAATTAAAAATCAAATATTTCAACTTTTCCCTAAAACTGAGTTCAATTAAAATAGTAAAAGCCGAGATGGCCATACAAATTAACATAAACAGTACAAATTAACTCAAACCCAGAGAACCAGGAACTGTCATCAACTCTATCATCACTGTACAATTAAAAATTGTGGAAAAGGCAGATGAAAAGCTTAATGGGTAAAAAAAAAATTGCATACTAAAGTTTTGCAACTAAGCACTGCCAAAGAGACTAAAGTGTAGTGGGAAGAGTATCATGGGCTTTAGGGTCAGACAGACCTGGGTTCAAATCCCAGCCCTGCCACTTATTAGGTATTTGTAACTGGGCAAGTTACTAAAACTGCATTCCTTCTCAGTTTCCTACCTGTAGAATGTCATTTTTGTAAGGATTTAGAAACTAAAACCTAGTTAAGTGCCTGGCACATAGTAGGCATTCGATGAACAGTCTCTGTTGTTATTAGAATGACTTAAGGAGTCAGGGTGCCTGGGTGGCTCAGTTGATTAAGTGTCTTGACTCTTGGTTTTGGCTCAAGTCATGATCTCAGTGTCTTGAGATCGAGCCCCATGGTTGAGCTCCACGCTCAGCAAGGAGTCTGCTTGGGACTCTCCCTCTTCCTATACCCCTCCCCACTGGGTGTGCACATGCTCAATCTTTGTCTCTTTCTCTCACTCAAATAAATAAAAACAAATAAGTAGAGCTATTTCATTCATAGTCACTAAGGCTCATGGAGACATGGTCTCTAAAACCCCACAGTAGAGAATCCTTACATAGAACAAGTTTTGCGCAGGCTTCCTCAGGTAATTAAGTTTTCTACCACTAACAGTATTTTCAGGGATCTAACTTCCATTCTTCCCCAAAAAGGATGACTCCAAGTACTTTTTTTAAAGACGAGTTTTTCTCAATTTTTGCTTTAATTTTCTTTCTTCAGTTTAGACTTTATCAAACTTGGAATTTGGAGATCATCATTTATGAATTAAATTTCAAAGCCCAGGCAGGAGACACACTCTCATTCAATTCATTCATTCATTCAAAAGTGAAAGCACATACACTCTTTTAGGTCTTCAAATGCTGTTTGAGCAGCATGCTGTCTATAGAGAATATTCTGTCCCTCTAGTCTGAGAAAAAACATAAGAAAAAATAGAAAATGGTTCTCCCAACTTTTCTTGCCTGTAACCACTTCAACTGGGCAAAAGAACCTGCAAATCACTACTTCATCTGCACATTCCATCCTTGCAATGTGGACTAAGAATTAGAGAATAAAGTCCTCTGCAGTGCACACTGAAAAAAGCTACCCCTGGGGCAGTCCTGAAATGTCACATATTAAAGTAACTACAGATCATGGTCTTAATCCAAAAAGTTAATCTAAAACAGAAAGGGCAAATGGCCATATGCACACAGAAAGCCCAAATGGTAGCCAATACTCAAATAAACATCCCAGATACTTCAAATCTAAAGGATCAGCACAGGAGAAGAACACCAACTGACAATCCACCAATCCCAATGCAAAGCCAGGCTTTACCATGAGAACAACATGTGGTACCTGAGAAAACTTAAGAAAAAAACATTTCTCTCCTTCAGATGCTAATTCTACACAAGTCTGGGTAGACTCAATCTCAAGGAGACTCCCTTTCTTATTTCTGCTCTACCAAGCCCGCTGGTCTCCCTTTCCCAGAGTCTATCTTCCCTTTATTCCAGGCTTTGCTTAAGTCCCATCACCCCAGGGAGACCTCATTAGGAAGAAATTGGGGCATCCTGCCCTCCCTCTTCAGAGTGACTTCCCACAACCTAGTTTAGTTATGGGACCCAGTGATGTATCACCTTGGCTTTCCATCCCCCAGCCCTCCGCCACTCTGTCTTCCCTCCTGTCGCTACAGTCCTAGTTCCCTTTCTTCCTCACTGTAATCTTCTCCATGCTCCCCACCCTATCCAGCCATGCTTCACTTTTTGTCACAGGTACTTATTTGCCCTCACCCCAGTTCAACATCCCCCTCAGGAGTTTTCCATATCCTAGGGCCACAACCTAGTTTGGAGACGTCTCTCTAAACCTATGAAGCCCCTAACCCCCAAATGACCCCTCCAAGTGTTTTCGCCAATGTTAGTCGTCCGCAGGGCAGCCCCCCCCCCCGCCCCCGCCCTCTCCGCCCTCCCAGGCCGGCCGGCCGGTCCTCCCTCAGCTGTCTCCCTCACCCCGTGACTCACCCGCATGCGAACCTCATAGGTGGTGAAGCGCGCGCGGCCCACGCCCACCGTCTGTGGATTGAAGATGTCGATCTCCAGGAAGTTACTTGGCGGCCCGTAAGCATCGGTCAGGTCCTGTGGCTTCGAGTTAAGGCGCCGAGTGTCCGCCACTGCTGTGTCCGACATCTTTCCGAAGGAGAGACTGGGACCGGGGAAGGGGGTGGGGGACAGAGGCAGGAGGCAGGAGCGCGCACAGCCCCTCCCGTTTGCAAAATAACCAGCCAACCCACAGACAGCGGCGCCGCGCACGCGCGTCCACGCACGCACGCACGCACGCGCAGGTTCCCTTGGCCCCGGGCCCGGCACCCTGAATAGCAGCCAAGTTGAGAGCTGTAAGTCCCGTACTGTGGAGGCCTCATTCAGGCTTCCGGGCGGCGTTTGTGGCTGCCCCGGAACCTGCATCTCCGATACGCAGCGCCCCATATTCTGGGAAGCCCTACAGGCGGAATCTGCCAATCGCTGCTCCCCAACCCAAGAATGGTCTTCTACCGTATATCTATCAGCAGCGGGCACTGCCTCGCAAACCGGGACCTTGCAGGGATAGGCCGAAGCCCCGTGACCTTAATAAGTCAGGGTTTTGCGCGAAAATAGAAGGGTACTCTCAGAGAGTGGGGTTCCAACGATAATACTAAGAATCTAGAACGCAGCCCTGCCACTTGTGCCCCTGGAGGTTTCAGTTCATTCCACACGCAACTGACCATTCAGCAGTATGGTGCCAGGGAAGCAGCCAGAATGGGGTAAATGTGATTGCTCATTCTCACTTTTCAGGAAAATTGGGGCATATCTTCATCCTCCACTTGTTACCACATAAAGCTAACCCCAAGTGTACTAAGATACTATATTTTTTAGCAAAATGAGGGCATTTATTTCATATCTTCTATCTCTACACTGCAGAACTCCGTACTTGACACTGCTCAGAGGCTGCTTACAGCCCATAGCAGAGATAGAATACATGTCTAAATGAGAAAATATCTATGGACATATTGATATGTCACTAATTTACATATGGCCCACATTAAGGGGTAGTGCCCCACATTAAGGCTGGTGTTTTTAGGTCATTCTTTCTCCTCCCTATACTGCCTGTTCTGTCACTGATGCCTGAAACCCTTTCAACAGAGTACCAGGCCCTATAATTTCACAGTTAAGTTATTTAATTCAATTTAACTGATACCTACTAAGCAACAACTCATGTGCCAGGAACCATGCTAAACACTAAAGACCTACAGTTGAATAAAGGAGTCTCTGCCCTCAAAGAGTTAACATTCTTTATTGAAAGAATGGGAGACAAGTCAATAAAACTAATGACATACAAAATAAGTGAATGTTCAAAGCAGGACATAGGACATGAATAATGGGAGGAATTAGGAAAGGCTTTCAGGAGGAAGAAATGTCTGAGTTTGACAGACCTGAAAAGATATAAAGGATAAATAGAAGTGGAAATGGGAAAAGTCAACTTCTTGCAGAGGGAATAGCATATGCAAAGTCATCCTGATAAGAAACAGCATATTTTTAGGCAGTTGTCACCAATTCAGATTGTGTAAAGAAAGTGCTTAGAGAGGTAGGCTGGCTGGGGACGGGGGTGATCCTTCCCCCAGGATCTTAAAGTGTCAGTGTCATAAAGAATGAAGCAAAGGATCTCTGGCTTTACAAAGTAGGTGATAGGGATCCATTGAAGGCTTTTTTTAAAAGAGTTTATTTATTTATTTATTTATTTATTTATTTATTTATTTATTTATAAGAGAGAGCTGCACATGATGGGGGAGGGGCAGAGGGAGAAGGACAAGCAGACTTCCTGCTGAGCAGGCACCCTGGGATCAAGACCTGAGCCAAAAGCAGAGGCTTGACTTAACTGACTGAACCACCCAGGCACCCCTACACTGAAGGATTTCCAACAGAAAAAAAAAAAAACAATCGTATTTGTGTGTTAGAAGGATTGTTTCCAGGCAACATGGAATGTGTATTTGAATTGAATGAGACTAATTATGAGAGCACTGACAATATGACTTGGAATCATGTGGTGATGGTGGGAGTGAAGAAAAAGAAAGACAGGACTGATATTGAGAAAATAGGTAAAACTCGTGTCTGAGTAAGTACAGTGGTAGTATAGTTTAGGGCTTAGGCATGTGAACTATGGACTTAGGATGCCCTGGGTTTAAATCCCTGCTTCCTAGCTGTATGGCCTTGAGCAAGTTATCCAGTTTTCCTCATCTGTAAAATAGAAATGATGAGACTAAAAGCCACCTCTGGGGCTTTTGTGAGAATTAAATGAAACAAAATATGTGTGACTAGTAAGTGTTCAGTAACTATTAGCTATTATTACTATTTGAGGAGAAAGGAAAGAAATTGAAAATGACTCCTAGTTTTCTGATCTAGGTAACTGGGTGGATGCTGTGGTACCACCAATCAAAATTGAAATTACAGAAAGAAGAGTAAGTTTCAGAGGGAAGACCATAAGTTCAGTTTAGAAAAATCTGGGATGTCTGTAGGACACTGTGGTTGAGATGTCCAGCAGGCAGCTGGAAATACTGGTCTGCAGCTTGAGGGTGGGATCAAGGTTAGAGAGAGAGATTTGGAAGTCATTAGCATATAGTGGACAAAGAAAAATGTGAAGAGTCAAGGACAGAAGATTTAAAAATTGGTGAAACCAGGCAGTGTTGATGAGAATATAAATCTGTGCAGTTTTTCTGGGAGGCAAATTGGCAGTATATATTTAAAGAAAAAACTTTGACCTCAAGAAACTTGTAATACTGGTTGTCTCTGAGAACAAGAGTCAGGGACGGCAGGGAGAGTTGTTTTTCATTTTTATCGCATTTATGTTCAAGTACTTTTGTATTTAAATTTTTGTCAATGTTATTTACTGAAACTATTGACTCAAAAATTTCACGTCCAATCATTTATCCTGAGAAAATAATCAGTCACCTAAAGATACCGGTATATGGAGCTTGTCTTTAAAAGCAAACAATAGGAGATCCCTGGGTGGCTCAGCGGTTTAGTGCCTGTCTTTGGCTCAGGGTGTGATCCTGGAGTCCTGGGATTGAGTTCCACATCAGGCTCCTGGCATGGAGTCTGCTTGTGTCTCTCTCTGTCTTTCATGAATAAATAAATAAAATCTTTTTAAAAAAGAGTAAATAATTGTTCATTTTATGCAATGGAATATTTTGGTAGCTATTTTTTCCTAACTTGTAAATGGTCTTAATATGGAGAGTCTCACACAGGAGTAAGTGGGTCCTAGGTTTTATAGACTTTGTATCTCAGTCACTTCCTGCGTAAAATACAGTCTTTTCTATATGGCTAAATTCAGGGTTCTCTTTTGTATCCATTTAAAATGATGTTTTATATCCAATGACATAGAATGATGCCCACGAAAAAGCAAAAAAAACACCTGGTAGAATATATTGTAATGTGATACCATTTGTATTACTGGATATGATATGTATAATAATTTTTGAAGACTGGAAGGATATAAATCAAAAATCCCAGTAGTGGTTACCTCTGTGTGGTGAGGATTCAGTTGGAATTTATGTTTTTATTTATAATTTTCTAAAGGGTATGATTTTTACATGATGAACATATATTCTTTTTTTAATCAGAAAAAAAGTTTTCCCATTTGGGAAAAACATTAAAGGGTAGGCACAGAAGAGAAGCTTGTGAAGGGGACTGGGAAGAAGTAGTCTGAGAGGTAGAAAGAGAACCAGGAGACAATACTGATCTGAAGGGGAGAGATAAGAAATTTTCCAAAAGGAGCAAGCCAGTACATAGTTAAGTGTTTAATACAGTGTAACAGTCAAATAATATAAGGCCTGGGAGCTGTCCATTAAATTTGACAATTGCTTAAATGAGAGCAGTTTCAGTGGAGCACAGGAGGTAGAATCCAGATGGCAGGGGACTGAGAATCTGATCAGAGCTGGAGAAGTGGAAACATTTAGTAGAGACTATTCTTTTGAGAAGCTGGCCCAAGAAAGAAATGGGGTAGCTAGAGGGTAATGTGCTGTCGAGAAAGGGTTTGTCTGTTTAAAAAGAGAAGAGACTTGAGTATGTTTAACAGCTGGGGGAGAGGGCTTTCATAGAAAGTAGAAAGTTGAATATGCAGGTAAGGCTTAAAATCAAATAGCCCTAGGAGAATTGTACAAGTTAAATTCATAATGAGGAGTAAATACATAGTCTTTAATAAAAAAGAGAGAAAGATTTGATGGGGGGGAGAGTAGAGTAGAAGGTACTGGGCTAATTAAATCCTTTGCAGTAATAACAGATAACAGCTGTTACCAGCTGGCACGCAAGCGCACTCACACACACACGCAATTTTTTGCTTTTTGTGAGAGGCACAGAGCTTCACATTTACCAAGTGATGTTGAACAAGGCACAGTTATCCTGTGCCTCAATTATCACACCAAAAAAAAAAAATCCAGTCAAATCTCTTGGCAAACAGATGACTTCAAAATTCAATGTGAGCAATACCCATTTTTCTCTCTATTGGTTTCTTTGACCATGCTCATTCTTTGCCAGAAGGAGTCCGGGGGATCGGGGTAGCAAAAGACAGAGATTTGGGATCCTCACATTGGAAGGAATCTCATTAGTTCATCTCATTCCTGCCCATGAGGAATACTGTACCTTAAACACCTATCCATCTTCCTGCTCATAAATTTTTCCAAAAGGGGATTGCACAATCTCCAACTTGGTGTTATGCAATTGTACTGACAAGAAATCCTCTCTAGTCTTTATTCAGACTGTCCTGAGGAAATGGAAAATCAAAAGCCCTTATAATTCGGGGGCTTTGTGTTCTTGGGAGCAAGGGTGTGGAATTGCAAGGAGGGAGTAGTGGGAAAATCTGAGTGTAAAAGAGGTAGCGCTGTGAGGAAAACCAGAGAGCAGAGAGCAGAGAGCAGCAATCATGACTTAAAACCTCTACTCCAGGGAATATGGATCCAGGGTTTAGCTGTCTTGCTGTAGAACCCTGCTTTCTTTCCATACACACCTATCTAGCTGCCTACTACCATTATTGACTTCTCCCTTTCCTGAAGTTCATTTAACCCTAATTTCACCTGGCACCTCCCTAGGGCTAAGTCTCTACTTTAAATCCCTTCTGAAAGTTGTCAGTTCCCTTCCTATGTTGATGAAGTGGACTTTAAATACCCAGCTTGTCTACTTAATTTGGCAACGGTATTTATTTTACTAAAATCTCTGGATCACCTAGGGGTGAGGGCAATTTGGGAAAAAGTGATATGGCCTAAGTATGTGAGCAT